GTTAAGCTCTTCCACTTGCCTTGGATAAAAGGCATTTTACATCTTGCATGCTTTCTAAATTTTTCACTCTCTGCACCCCTTTCAGGGTTATTAATTAACAGGAAAATATACTAATAAGATAAAGTAAGTGATTTCAGTGGCAGCAGGAGAATGTATTTTACTATCCAGAAGGTGAGTGTGATGCTGGGAGCTGGTTGGCACTACAATTTGGGTCAAAACAGATCTGAGGCACCTGCAACTGGCATGGATTATCAATCGGAATTAGAGAAAAACAATTTTAACACTAAAGTCTATCAACTGCAATTTGTGTTCAACTAGTGTTTTAATCCAGGTAATTACTATTATAATGATACAATTGCTGATAAGTGGAACACAATGCTCTTAAATCTAGTTTATAAATATATGTCTCAGAAAGCATGTGTGTGTGTGTGTGTGTGTGTGTGTGTGTGTGTGTGTGGTTACAGCTGTAGATGTAAGCGCATATGCGTGCCTACATTTGCATATTATTTTCTGAATTGGATGCAAGAAGAAAATCACCTCTCCAGAAATCTCACATTTTAAATTGCTATAAAAACTGAGTGTACTTGCCCTAGATTATAATATATATTTGTAAATGCCAGAAAGATACTGTATACACTATATCCCACTGGAAAATAATATGTAAGAAGTCAGGTCACATGCCTTGTTTTCAGAGCCAGTAATGTTAAAAAAGGGGTAATTAACAATTGGCAGACTTGGAAGAGGCAAACCCTGGCAAGGGGAGACTACAACTAAGATCAATGCCAACATATATCAACCACAATTTGCTTTTAACTTGTGTACTAAAATAAAGGAGTCAAATATTTAAATGAATTTGTAAATTGTGGAGAGGTGGGTGAAAGTGTGGGAGAAATATGCTATAATCCAATCACAATCTCATATTTGTACTTAAGGAACAGGAGCTATTACATCTATGATGACCAAAATAACCATCTGGCATACTTAAAAACATATTTTGTGACACAGGCAATAAATCTGAAAAAGCTGGTTCTACCGCACAAAAAGAAATAGCATGGTTTCACATATCACAAGTGCTGGCAGTTATGCCATTCTGAAAGAACTGCTGTCGGGCTCTGTCTTCCCCAACCCTGCAAAACAACAAAAAGCCCAGCTATTGCCTATCTATTTCACCGCATACAGTCTTGGTTCACTCTATTTTTCAGCCTCCAAATATTTCAAGCCCATTCTCCGATTTAAGTAACAACTTAAATCTCATTTGCCTCTGCCTGACTAGAAAATATCGAAGGTATAATAGTAAGAAAACAAATCACAACAGGAGTGAAAATCAGGACCCAAGCTCTTAGGAAAGCTGTTTTCTAGTAATTTTCAAAAAGTGAATGGATGGAACATTGAGCAATGTCGTACTGCACAGGATAATAAAGGCACCATTATTTTCTCGGAGATAATTTAAAAAAACAAAAACAAATCATAAGCTTTGTGGCTGTTCTTCTGCCAATCTCACAAAGTTAAAAGACAATTAAGATGTGGTTGGTTTTGTAATTAAGACCATGCAGAAGTGTGCTGAAGAGTTGTTCTGCAAACTTGACTTCTGAACTCAAGAGAAACATATGGCTGCTAATTGCAATAATACCACACAGACTGAGGAATGGTGGCATGGGACCTTTTCCTAGATCTCCTTTCGGTTAGTGAGAAACAATTTCCTGGACAAGAATCTCTAGAGAGCCCTACCTGTGGTAAGAAGGTAGCAAATGGGAATTGTGATGAGCCTGCTAAAAAAAGATTCAAATGAATTCTAAATCCTGCACTCTGCATAATCACATTATCTAAAGGGCCTTGAAGAAGGACTGAAGTGTCAAAACACTGAAATTTGAGTCGGCAACTGTGCCACTAATAATAACACCATGACAGGCTCATGTTGATCTCAAGAGTGGGACTCCTGAGGTGGTAATAATGAGTAAAGAGTTGCTACAGTCAGCTGGGCACCTTTTCCAATTATTCACATAAGAAACGGCATCCACTGTGGGGATCTAGAAGGTGATAGGAACTGTACTCTTAATAAGTATTATATGCAAATACACACTGGCACAATTTGCAATTCTTTTGAGAAACTGTGACATTAAAATTACTTGGCACAAAACATCACTCTTTTTCAGTAGCATGCACTTGCTTGTAAATGTTACATTAACGACTGAGCTTCTTGTCTAACTCATAACAGGCTAAGCAAGTCTCTTCTGCTGTTTAGGGACAAAACTGAGCAGGAAAGGCAGTCCAAGTGCATATTGGCACTACTGCGAAACAGAAAACTTTTCACTGAAAGCGGACTGCACAGAAGAAATAAAATGCAGTGACCAGGTACCACATGCTCCCCACTAAAATCAAAGGAGCTTAAGAGCAGTTAACTTTAGCTGGATAATACAATATAAATGTAGCAAACACAATACTAATGGCCACAAACATTGATGACATAATTCTGATTGTCTCAAACATTTTACACAAATTGTACAGAAACTATAAGCATTTTTCTAATTAATAAAATGTTAAAGGTGAGATGGCATTTCACATATTTAATAAAATAAGGAGTTAACTATCTACTGTATGGTCTAGTGCTACATGCCTTGAAGACATTCAAGTCACCCCCAATTGAAAGGATGAAGAGGTCAGAATAGTTAAAAGCCTCTTGCCTTCTCTGGCATTTTGAGGCCAGTTTCATCAATGAGAGGGATAATTCTACCATTTCCCTGTGGCTGAATTCTTTCTAAAGTGGGTAAGATGCAGATTCAGAGTGTGACTTAGAAGTCAACACTTGGGAGGTGACTAAACCTATTTCCCCCAAATTTACAGTAAGTGATCTTGGAACTATCCAAACAATGCATTTTAGAATATCCTTTGCCAGCACAGTATGTCAATAAGGGATAGGTGAATTAGTGTCCACCTTTGTTGGTTCCATGCACCTTTTCACATTAATCTGAAATCCCCCTCCCCTAAAATTCACAAAATTTACATATATTTATCTACACACCTAAACATAGCTTCATCTCAAAATATGCATTTCCAGTGTTTTGACTGAGACGACAACTGCACTGAACATTTGGGAAGTGTGAAAGTTGATGGATAACTAAGTTCATATCTGCACACTGGTCTGTGAAATGCGATCAGGTCAGTTCATATCAATCATCCCCAATGCCAACTTTCCAACAACAATGAAAGCAACATAGGAAATTGAATTCTGAATCTATTTCGAGCAACAGGTGCTAGGTTTGGCAGCTCCAGGATACGCTAACCGCACACAATCACACAAATGGGGAATGGCACTTCAGATCCAGTTTCCTGATTTACTTGGATATTCTCACAATGCTGCACAAAGACTACACAATTAATAGTTCTTGATGAAGGCAAACTGATTATTCTGGCCCCATCAGAAGAAAGCTAGATTTACAAGTTCTTCACAATCCTCTTATATTGCTACTATTTCCTGGCTTCTCTCTGAAAAAGATTCTAGGTTTTTTCCATGGCTGATTTGCATTCCATTTTCTCCCAACATCCAGAAGCCTCTGGCTTTTCTACACGGCATTTCTACTTAGGAAGTCCTTCCCAAGCCAACCTACTTATATACCGAAATGAACACACACAAACAGGCATGAAAAGAAATGGCTTCAATATAACAATACTGGTAGATCCGAGACCATGCCTAATCTACATAATCAAACTGTGTGTGTGTCCACAAGCAATAGCTTTTTTACTTTCCTCTAAGTAAGTGCAATGACTAGCTTCCAACACTGTATCTGAGAAAGTGTCTAATACTGGGGTGGGAGAGCTAAGAAAAATGCCAACATATTTCACATCTGGCAACCAATGTACCACTTTAGTTTTAGATAGTACTTGGGTAAAGGTAAAGGTACCCCTGACCATTAAGTCCGGTCGCGGATGACTCTGGGGTTGCGCACTCATCTGGCTCTATAGGCCGAGGGAGCCGGTGTTTGTCCAGACAGCTTCTGGGTCATGTGGCCAGCATGACTAAGCCGCTTGTGGTGAACCAGAGCACTGCATGGAAACGCCATTTACCTTCCCACCAGAGCGGTACCTATTTATCTACTTGCACTTTGGTGTGCTTTCGAACTCCTAGGTTGGCAGGGATCGAACAATGGGAGCTCACTCTGTTGCGGGGATTCGAACTGCCGACCTTCGGATTGGCAAGCCCTAGGCTCTGTGGTTTAGACCACAGCGCCACCCATGTCCCTTAGTCGAAAAAACCAGGGACAAAATTTTCATGGCCCTCTAGCAGCTATGGTGGCTCTTTTACCAGAAGTAATGCATTTATTGTTAAATCTGGAAGTGTATACTTCATTCTGAACAAGCTAACCCACTAACAGTGAGCCAGAGAAATGGGAAGAAACAATGAAAAGCAAAACGAAACAATGAACACCATTGACCAAAACAATATTCTCAAAACTAAGCATAAGGCAAAGCTTGCACTCTCACCAAGCTCTAATTATCAACATGCTCCACAGAAGAGGATGTGTTTTGCATGATGAAAGTCCCAAGGAATGCACCCGGGTCGTTTAATTAAGAGAATACCAGACTGGAGGTCTGGAAAAGACCTCAGGGGCAATAAAAGCAAGCATCACCTAGGCTAGATGAACCAACATCTTACACAGTGTAAGGCAGCTTAATATTTGCTTGTACAACCAACTTCCACAGGATACACATTGTGGATGACTAATACAGCCTCCACAAAAATGCAGTAAATTTTGCAGCACCAGTAGTTTAGCGTCTTAAGTCATCCCTGGTGAATGCAGTACCCTCCAGATGAGGCTACCACAAGACAGGGACACAGCTCATGTTGTTGCAGTAACCCAAATTTTTGTTGCTTCCTTACCCAAAAGGGAATCTTTCACCATCTTTGACACACCTTTACCTTTTTACCCACTGGACCCAGATAAATAACCTGCTAAACCCACACTAAGATACAACAAGAAGGGAAAATGAGCAAAAATGTTTACCCCGTCTGGCAGTGCCCTCCAACACACAGCACTGACAAATTCATTTGTATCATCTTCCTTACGGTCCTTGTCCAGGACGCTTTTGACAGTGTCAAATTTGAAGGTTAGCAGTGTCTTTGAGAGACCCTTGTAGTACAAGTAGAGGGAATTATTTTCACTTCCTGCAATCAAAAGCAAAAATAAAGAAAGAGGCAGATTGGCAATGTGTAAGGATTCCTAAATATTTCTTTCAGGTAGTTTTTGATGGGGTATGTAAGTGTGGGTTGGAGGCTAACTGTTACAGTTAAAGCAGAGAACTCCAAGGTAGAAGGAAGATCACTGCATTGCATAACATTACCTACAACTCGTAGCCAACACTTGCCAGACACATAAAATTTGGGTAGTGTAGAAAACAGTGCAAGGCAGTGGTTCTGAAGGCTAGTAAGTTTTTAACTGTACTGTAGAAACATAAGCACTATTTCCAAGATGTCCTATTATCACTCCACCACGCAGTGTCGGGACTTCATATAAAGTCTTTTGTGCTCTGCTCCAGGCACCAGAGTTCAAGAAGAATGGTAACAAACTGAAAAGGATTCAGAAGTAAGCTACAAAAGTGATAAAAGGTCTGGAAGGGACATCCTGTGAGGCAAGACTGAAGTATTTGGCTTATTATTCAGCTACAGGAAAGAGTGGCAAGGGGCAGCTATGCCGACAGCTTTAAAATATTTTAAAGAATCTCAGAAGAGGGAAGAGATAATCACTCACCATATGCCCCAGTGCTTTAAAAGTTTTCAGTTTTTATAATTGGGGTGTAAGTCACAATGTGCTGTGGCAAATCAGGTGCTTTAATTTCATTGTGCCAGACAAGCATGTGCTGGACCCTCCTACAGCTTTGCAGGCAGTACATGTTGGTCCCCTTTGCTGAACAGTTGTTTCACTTACCGCAGGCAATATAGTCTCCATTGGATGCCAAACCCACAAAATTTTTCTCATTGATGTGACCCTTAAAGGAACGCAGACAGTGTGGCTTTCCTACATTCCACAGCTTTAGCTGACTGTCCGTTGACCTGAAAAAAAGACGTATGAATCACTCATAAGTCATTAGTTTGCACTGTATGTCAAAGTGCTAGGAAGGCCCTCCTAAGAAGACATGGGCATTTGTCAGGGCAGGCAAAACCACTGCACACGTGGGTATCCGTGTGTAGCTTGAGCAGTCAAGAAAGCAGATTCCCAACATGATCTCTCAATAGAGTTGAACAAGGAAGACGCATTCCACAGAACTGGCCTAGCATATATCCACCAGGGTACACAATGTGCTCTATCTGCTAACCAGCCTAAATCGGATTTTAAAAATGTAAGTTGGATTTTGGTTTATTTTAAACTTCAGTTATATTAAATGTCGCGTTAAAACTAACGTGTCTTAAATGAACTCTGAGTTCAATGCAAGCATGTGAAGTCTATGTGTACACTCCTTTAAAACTGCAACTACACCAAGGTTTTTACTTTTTTTCTGTAAAGACTCAAAATGAGGAATATACCAAATTTTTGTGGTCAGTAATTATCAATAAAACATCTCACAACATACTGTGTATTATTGTGACAAAGTATGAAAATGTTTGCTATTTCAATCAACTATGGACAAATGCTCTTGCTTCTGGAAAGATAAGGGAAGAGGCAGACAAGTCTGCAGGTTTCACTGCACTCAATGGGACAACCTAGTAGGTGGTACGTACTTAAAGCGTGTAAGCTATAGCGTCATCAAAATATGGATTTCAGAGCATAGAAACTAAAAAATCTAGAAATAATGCAATATGAAACATAGCAATATAGTACAATTTAGAGGAATAAAACTATTTAACTAGCTAAAAAACTAGCTTGGACTACTGCAATGCGCTCTACGTGGGGCTACCTTTGAAGGTGACTCGGAAACTACAGCTAATCCAGAATGCGGCAGCTAGACTGGTGACTGGGGGCGGCCGCCGAGACCACATAACACCGGTCTTGAAAGACCTACATTGGCTCCCAGTACGTTTCCGAGCACAATTCAAAGTGCTGGTGTTGACCTTTAAAGCCCTAAATGGCCTCGGCCCAGTATACCTGAAGGAGCGTCTCCACCCCCATCGTTCTGCCCGGACGCTGAGGTCCAGCGCCGAGGGCCTTCTGGCGGTTCCCTCATTGCGAGAAGCAAAGCTACAGGGAACCAGGCAGAGGGCCTTTTCGGTAGTGGCGCCCGCCCTGTGGAATGCCCTCCCATCAGATGTCAAAACGATAAACAACTACCTGACATTCAGAAGACATCTTAAGGCAGCCCTGTTCAGGGAAGTTTTTAATGTATGATATTTTAGTGGGGTTTTTGGTTTCTATGGAAGCCGCCCAGAGTGGCTGGGGAAACCCAGCCAGATGGGCGGGGTACAAATAATAAATTATTATTATTATTATTATTATTATTATTATTATTATTATTATTATTATTATTAAAATACCGTAATTTTATATTCCTGGATCAAGAAAAAGGTTTTAATCCGGTGCCAGAAAGTCAAAACTGTCAGCACCAGTGAGGGTATTCCAAAGTCAGGGAGCCATCACAGAGAAGGCCTTCTCTTCTGTACATAATGTATTTTCTTCTACGGAGAAGGGCATCCTTTGAAGATCTTAACACCCAGGCAGGATGATACAGAAGGAAACAACACTTTCAGATATTTGGATCAGAAAGCCATTTAGACCAAGGGTAGCAATGTGGTGCCTTTCAAATGTTGTTGGAATGTAACTCCCATCATTCCTCTCCACTGGCCATGATGGCTGAGGCTGATGGGACTTGGGAGTCCAATAATATCTGCCAGTCACCCCTTTCAACAACCCAATCACATATAAATAATAAATTATGATTATTGGTTTTCCTTCATTTAAAGCTTCATTTAAACACCAGCACCTTCAATTAGGCTCAGTTGTGAAAGTGGAGAGGCTCTGGAACTGCACCACTGCAGGTTTGTGTAGGCTGGAGATTGGAATTACACTATAGAACCAAAAAGTGTACAATGGGTTGAGACTCTAGTGAACACTGGAATAGTTCAACACTCCCCATAATGTCACAAACCTATTGGAGAAATGCAAGTATGGCAGGAGACCTTGCAATGTGAAATTGGAAGTCTGGGGACCTGAACAAATTGTGTCTGCAGACTGCCACAGAAGAGGCAGGCACGCTTTTTTCTTTCCTGATGTTGTGATTTCCTTTGAGGGGAAGGGAAATCTTTTAATTACTTTAATTGTGAAAATTAAGCCAACAGATATGGAGGGGAAAAGTACAAAATGAAAAAAACCACTTGCCTTGGAGATGCATAGACTCCTCCCCAAAGCCTACCTCCCCCCCACACTATTCACAATGCACAGGATGCAATAAAGCAGCACCAGAACTGATGAACTGGTAAATGTCAGGTGGCTCCAAATGGCCTGGAGGTCACGGGGCAGATTTAATCGATGTGATTCATAAAACAGCTTACGTTAGAAAAAGCAAATATTTTCTTACAATTTTCTTTAACTGCAGTTAACCCTGATAAAGCTCTTCCACTGACTGCAATGTTACAATACAGCACACTGTGTTGGGAGGGAAGTGGAAGAGAAGAGATCCCAACATCTCTGCGCAGCACACCCTTGCCCAGCTATTGCTTCATCTGAATTGGACAGCTCTGTCAATATAACCTAGGGCTATGGAACAAGCATTTTCAAATGTCTGTCTCCCAAGTAGGACAGGCCTCTTTTGTCCTTTCAAGGTCCCACACATGATGCTGCCATCTGATTACACAGGCAAAATGCTTTGTGGTTTTGACACTGCCTATGGTTTAACCATTCAGTTTAATAGAAGTTTGACAAGCAATGCTTCTCTTTTAGTTGCCAAACCTCTGTAACTTCAGTACAGAAATTATTTGAAGTATGAGAAAATGTACTTCAGTTAATCTCAGTTGGAAAAAATAGATCTCTTGTGTCATTTGAATGGTAGGAGAGTTCAAGTTGGCTAAGGAAGATAGATCTTTTTATATTTTTGAAATGAAGCAATATTTTCATTTACTGTTCGCTTGTGAGAACAGTACCATAATGTAATCCCCAGGGACAGGGTGGAAAGGGACACTTCTAATATGGCTGGAAAAGAAGGAGTGGGCTCTGTTCCTGTTCATCAAGGAAGTTTGAACCGTAATTCCCACTTGACCCACCCCAAATTGATGTATTGATGTGTATGCATGTATGTAATAATAATAATACCTTTATTGTCATTGTACAACTTGTGTACAATGAAATTACACTCAATCCCTTCTCGAAAACTCAATCCCTTATCGAACAACACACCACCTCGCAAGTCAATTTTGCTATGTTATTTTCCATTCAATAGCCTAACAGCCCATGGATAGAAGCTATTTTTTAGCCTGTTGGTACGGCTGATTATACTTCTATATCTCCTGCCCGAGGGTAGAAGATTAAAGAGCTGATGGCCGGGGTGTGAGTCATCCCTGAGAATTTTTCTCGCTCTCCCAAGGCAACGAACCCTTGCGATGTCATCTAGCGGACTCAGGGGACAGTCTATGATATCATGTGCTGTATTCACCACCTTCTGTAGAGACTTTCTGTCTTTGGCTGTCAGGCCAGCATACCACACTGTGGTATGCATGTATGTATGTATGTGATTAAGAAGTCCTAGAGTAGCTAATGCTTTGAGTAAAGGTAAACTGGTTACTGGCCAATTTAAACTGTCTCCCATGGTTCTGGTACCTATATCTGCCTCTGGAGTAGTTCCAGCTCCTAAATGTTGTGTTCTCCTCGTGGGACTTTATGATTCAGGATTTGGAACGAGGACGTGCTATGCTAAAGGATATGGTCCCCTTTTCACTAGCTCTCTTAGCATGGTATTCCAGCCCTCCTGTTACAGGAGTTCAGTTCAACTACAACTCTGTACATGACCCAAGACTATGGGATTTGCTCTTGCTCTGAGTCTCTGGCAGTAGAGGATCGCTAAGGTGGCCAAGGGAAGCCCTAGAACGTATGTCAGAAGCAGGAGATTGCACCAATTAACCCCATAATCCAGGATCACAACTAATACAAGCAACATCTTTATTTAATTCAGTAGATTTAATTCAGTAGATTTTCCCTCACCGAGAATAAAATGAATATCAGGAATAAAGCACATCCTAATTAAGTATCCCCCCCCCCACCCTTAGAAGTCTGTCAGCAGGGTGAGGGCACATTGCTAACAGCATCATTGAAAAGCACTCCTGTTAAGATAGGACAGGTGCCCACTACTTGCACTTTCTGGAGAGAAATGAAGACATTTTTGTTCCAAAAAGGTTACCCAGCTGGAGGAATAGGACTCTGCCATGGGCACACATTTTGCATTGCATTTTTAAAATCTCCAGATTTAAAATGCCCCAGATTAAATGCCCAATTTTGTTCTAATAATAGATTTGCTAGTCAAGGGTAAAGATCACTGCTAGTCTGAAATAAAGAATAAGATTTTGGAGGACTCTGAACTCTAAATTTATTCCAGATATCAAGCAAGTTCTCTCTCCATTACTGGTTCTCCCTCTTGGATTAGATGAAATGACACTCCATAAGCAGCAAAATGGTAGCTGTATGTTACCACCAGGGGACACTCCTGCAGCTCTTGCAACATCTGCCAGTAAGAAGAATCTTGCCTTGGAGCAAAACATTAGGTATTAAATAGAGCTGGTTGATATCTGGTTTTCAACATGGCAATATATCACCAGCTAAACATCATGATAAATCAATAGATCATGATGTCTGAAATCAGGATGGAACTATGAAGACGAACAAGTATTACTGTACTGCCTTTCTGTTATCACCTTCACATCTGATCAAGCTTTTTCAGAACTTAGCAGTTGTTTCAGCATGCTCTCTGCTCCTCCTTCTAAAGGGACTGCTAAATAAAAACTTTACAAATAAATTCAGGTAGGTAGCCGTGTTGGTCTGACGCAGTCGAAATAAATAAAAAAATTGTCCAGTAGCACCTTAGAGACCAACTAAGTTTGTTCAGGGTATAAGCTTTCGTGTGCATGTGCACTTCTTCAGATACACTGAAACAGAAGTCACCAGACCTTTATACATAGTGGGAGCATGAAAACTATGGCGAGACCTGGTCTGAATAGAGATATTCAATTCTTGTTTCACTACATATGCTAAAGCTATTTTTGGTCATCTGCATACTATGCTTTTTCCTGTAGGACTAATTGCAGTCGTTAACAGTCATCAACAGTCAAAACAAAAAAAATTCCTTCCAGTAGCACCTTAAAGACCAACTAAGTTAGTTCTTGGTATGAGCTTTCGTGTGCATGCACACTTCTTCAGATACATGCACACGAAAGCTCATACCAAGAACTAACTTAGTTGGTCTTTAAGGTGCTACTAGTCATCAACAGGTTTACCATACCCATTGAGTCAATCACCCATCTCCTACTACCCTTCTGAGAAAAACCCCACCCACCACCCCACCCTCTAAGGTGCTACTGGACAATTTTTTAATTTATTATTAATTATTAATTTATTTTACAAATAAAGCAAATGTTGTTTTTTTCTTGGACTCCTTTGAAGCCATAGGCTATGGAGCCAAGGGAGGTGTGAAATAGTCCTTTATTTTTGTTCTATCAAAAGCACAGCAATCTGTTTAGCAGGATGACACTTCATACCAACACATGGTATGTGCATATACCCCCACCCACAAGCCATATATTTTAACGTCTTTGAAAATACACCGAGTAGAATCAGTAAGCACAGACGTTTTTCACAAACACCAAGGAAAATACTTACGCAGAGACTATTTCCTCTCCACTAACGAACTTTGCATATGAAACAGCCTTGCGGTGCCCTTTAAAGACCATGATTGGTTGCTTAGTGTTCCGAAGGTCATAGTAGTGAACACAGTGATCTGGGGAGAGGTGTGACAAAAAGGAAAAAGAAATCAGTGTATGCAAAGTGCTACTAATATTGCTCAATTATTTGTTTACCAAGCACCTTAATACAAGAAGGATGGAACATAATGCCCAAGATCAAGAACCTGACTATTGTTCTAATCAAAGGCCTGCTAGTCAGGGATGTGGATCTCAGCTATTCATTGATCTGGTAAGTAAGGGAGTTTTGGGGACTGCTAATCCCACATTAGGGACGCGGGTGGCGCTGTGGTCTAAACCACTGAGCCTCTTGGGCTTGCTGATCAGAAGGTTGGCGGTTTGAATCCCCGCGACAGGGTGAGCTCCTGTTGCTCGGTTCCAGCTCCTGCCAAGCTAGCAGTTTGAAAGCATGCCAAAAAGTGCAAGTAGATAAATAGGCAGGAAGGTAAACAGCGTTTCCGTGTGGTGCTCTGGTTTGCCAGAAGCGGCTTAGTCATGCTGGCCACATGACCCGGAAAAACTGTCTGCAGACAAACGTCAGCTCCCTTGGCCAGTAAAGCGAATTGAGCGCCGCAACCCCAGAGTCAGTCATGACTGGACTTAACTGTCAGGGGTACCTTTACCTTTACCTTTAATCCCACATTTGTTCTAGTTCACAAGCTAGCTGCACAAGTGAATCTGCAATACAAAAGTCCTCAATGAAGAAGTGTTCTCTGTTTTCCTCCTTTTGAACTTTACTGCCGAGTTCACTTATCTGAAGGGAACTACCATATGAAGAAAATGCCACCAGAAACTAGCAGGGACCAGTTAGCTGTTTCATGGGATGCAGAGCACCCAACGTTATGAGACCAGGAAGGACTGGGAGTACACTGCAATCCCCATCTCCTTGAATAGCTCTTGCCTTTCTCCTTCAGAGTTGTACTATTATGCTTCCACGTGCCAACTGTGCTTATTTTTGAAACTAGGGTATCAATATATTTTTAAACCAAGGTTTGAAAACCAACTATGACTAGCATTAAACTTCAATGCAGATACAACACTATACCATTGTTAATTATGTGGCTGAGCCAGTGTGGTGTAGTGGTTAAGAGCGGTAGTCTCGTAATCTGGGGAACTGGGTTCGCGTCTCCACTCCTCCACATGCATCTGCTGGGTGACTTTGGGGTAGTCACACTTCTCTGAAGTCTCTCAGCCCCACTCACCTCACAGAGTGTTTGTTGTGGGCGAGGAAGGGAAAGGAGAATGTTAGCCGCTTTGAGACTCCTTAAAGGGAGTGAAAGGCGGGATATCAAATCCAAACTCTTCTTCTTCTTCTTATGGTAGTTGGTATTGGGAGCTGCATAGCTAAGTGGCCAGTGAAATGGAACCAAAACCTATTTAGGTCGGAGTACAAAACAAAGGAACACTAATGGGGGGGGAGGGGTCTCCTCAATCGAAAGTTAGGAAAGCTTACTATTCCAATCAACAGCTATTGCAGGCTAGCAGCAGAAAATACGGTGTTTGCATATATTTAAAACAGATTTGATGGTCTCAGAAAGTATTAGTCTAATTGAGACCATGGATTTCTCTCCTATTGCAGGTGTTAAATTAGTATAGTAACGCTACAAAATTGCTGACAGCATAATTACTATTGTGTTCTTCTCTTCTATAAATCTGAGTTTTGCACAGGAAACCTGTACCTCTAGTATTGCCTGGATTTGGGGTCTCACTGCTTTCAATTTCTTGTGTATGTATATCCGTCAACTGAGGATAACACTTCACATATCTGAAAAAGTGGACTGTAGATCATTTAAGCTTACACTTTGGCAAATCTGCTAGAACTGAAGTATTACAAACTATATTCTTGCTGCAACAGACTAAACCAGACTACCTCTCTGGAAGAAGGTTGCATTAGTAGATTGTACTGCAAGATAACAGTTGATTGAATTCTATTGAAAACTGCAGCCTTCTTTCAGGCTGGAGCGCTTCCATCTATTCAGTAGGCACATTTGGAATGCTGCAGACTTCAAGCATCAACAGAAGAATGATGAGAGGAGGGAATAGATAAGAAACTGGATTGCTACAGACAGGGAAAAGGTGCAGCGGGGCAGAAGCATCTGCTTTCAGCTTTGAATTCTCCTTCCAAATTCTGCAGTAAACAACTCCAAGCCTGATAGCATATGGCCCCATCATAGCAGGCCTGCCTGCATAGCCTATGCAATCAATCAACTTCTGTTTTGGTCAGTATGAGTCCAGGAAACTGTATGGTCCCTGCGCTCTAAAATTAGCCACTTAATAATTGATTATTACAGAAACTATTGTCTGTGCCAATAGAGGTTTCATTATTATTTTTATTAATTCAAACTTGCATTGTTTAAGTAGCTACCTCATGTCTAATGCTCATCACATTCATTAATGCCTGAACAGGTGGCCATGTTTCCTAATTAAAGAGATTCTCTCTCCCCCTTCTCTTTTTCAGACCATATGGACCTTTCACAGAACAAGATAAAAGTGCTACCAGCTAAGGAAGCCAAGATTAAACCAGGCTAAGTGAGAGGAATAACTATTCCAAGTACCCAGGCAGAAGCCTCTCAAATTGATTTATGATTTACTGAAATTGCTCACAACTAGCCATGCTCCTGGCAATCCTATACATCTTGGACTCTATATTTAAAGAACTCTAAAGCAGCCAGACAATTCCTCTAATGATGAGCACCAAGAACAGACCAGAAGAACAATGATAGCTTTGTCAATACCCCTTGAGTCTAGCCTATTAGTCTTCCTGCCAGGCCAGCAGAGAACCTTGACTCAAAGAACATTCAACCCTGGCTTGCAATGACCTCTTGATACCCCAAAATCCAAGGATTATAGGAACCAAATACTTTGAGAAGTACTATACAATGGGGAACCAACAGAGAAAAGTTTTGAGATACCCAAAACCAAAGTTCTGCTAAGATTTGTAACATCCTAATTTCAACCAAAGAGTTATGTACTTCTGGTAACCACAGCTCTATAGAATCAGTGAAATAAAAGGCTTTTGTGGGACTTGAATCAGGGTGGGGCCCTCCTTATAGCTAGTGCTAAAGACAGAGAACAAGAGGCACTGCCTTAGGTCCCTATAATCCAAAGCTGAATATCTTTAGTGGTTCAGCCATTCACCCTCTTCCCTGCACAATGAATAGAGTTGTTCCACTGGTGAACTAGGAATCAGAAAACTGGGAAAGAATTGTGTATCTTAAAACAAACACCACAGTACTAAAATATTGGTAATCCAGCTCATGAAGGCACTGAATGAAAAGGTAACAGACATTTTACAACAATTAAATAACTATGTCAGTTCCACAACGTGATATGACTACTAGTAACCTGTCTGCAATGATGGCTGAATATTACCTATAGCACATACATTAGAACCAATTAACCAGCCTTACCATGTATCCATAAAACAGATCGAAGTTGCTTTTATTTTAAGGGAAGTGTAACTCGATATTAGCAGCAGTTTGACAAAGAAGACGTCAGTAAGAGGTCCATATTATCAAGACCATGTACTTATTTTTGCAACTGAAATTTCCCTACTGAATTCCACTTTTATTTTTACTCACTTTCTTTGTATTTACAGCGTAGGATTCCCACGAGAAGTTCCTAAAATAATTTTGAAAACTGTGTCTTCCTGCAATATTCAGGTGATTCTAAAAATGGGACTGGAGTTCATCAGTGTAAACACACTGGAAGGCAAGTGCATGTGGTAGAGAAAAGAGCCATTCCTATCTTTATGATACATGCACCCATATATCATATGGATTGGGATGGACAGCTTGCATGTCATGAATACAGATTTTGGGGGCCTTGACTGTCACCATTTTGCAGGAGGGATTAAAGCACATACTGGAATTTAAGATTTGCCCAGTTAAAGCAGAATAAAGGACGCTGTTGTTCTGGTGAAACAATTTCACTTCTTAAAAAGGATGAGAATTTCTGTGGTTTGGAATGTGATGAGGAAATGAATTTAAAAGTGTGGGATGAACAAATGACTATTGGGAAGATGTGTTAAAGCAAACCAGGATGAATGCAGGACAAATGCTTATGGCCTCACAAACTAATCAGAACGAATGTGCAATGAAGACCAGATAAATCTAACCTCTCTGTGGAAGCAAATCAGGCTGAATGATGAATAAACAGGTTGTGTGAGAGGGCCCTTCATTTTCATGTATATTGATCAGAAATGTAATGAGTATGCAAGATAGTCCAAAGTTACAGTTTAAGAATGATGCACATTTATGAAAAATCTACAAGGAACTTTGTAAGCACTTGACTGTGCCTTGAGTCCTTGCTTCCAGGGGCCTAGGGAACATCCATGACAATAGTCAGAATAAAAATCCAAAGATTCTGCTGGAGAGAACAAAAAAAAAAAGGAAGACTAGATTTCTGTCTGTCTGGTTCCTGGTTCTCTCCTGACAAGATCACAATCTTGCATTCTGAAGGATCTTTTTCACTTATGCTCTTCTGTGGAGCAAAGGCTTGATCCCACAACCAAGCTCTTCACAGCTATTTCAGCATTATTTTTTATCAGCAGTTTACTGCATTATTTTTAAGTGGCCATTCAACAATAGCATTTCTCTGTGGATTTGTTACCTCCCTGTGCAGCATTAAACAAGGGGAATAGCAACTGAAAAAAACAAGTGCTAGCCTTTTTTCCTATTTAAAAAACCCTTTGCATTGAACAGTCTCTCTATGGCTTGAGGTTACAGATGACATTCATCAGGATATGGGGAACAGCCTTCACATGCCAGGGACATTTTTATTGACTTTTCTAAAGCTTGTCATGGAGCAGCCTGTAAAGGCTCCATTAAATAAACTTCTACTGCATACCTCATTCAAGAACTTAATCAGTTTGGGTGAAAGAACCAGTTGAGAATGAGTGGAAGAGTTGATGAAAGGTAGTTTTAAAAGTATGTATGTGAATCTGCTATTCATTATTCTAAAGAAATGGAGTCTGAAGACACATACACTGAAGTCAGCTCTCTCATCTGTGCAACTGACATATACTTTTATCAGTACG